AACAGATGAGCTCAGGACCTTGCTGCGTCAAGCCCTAAATGGGTTTACAAAGGAGATCAGTGCTCAGCCATCTCAGACGTAGCACGTGCTACCATGCAGTGGGGGTCACAGCTCATTTCAGTCCATTAAAACACAACAGCCCTCTTGCTAATAGCCTTAATGGTAGCCACCATATAGTAAGCACTAATGTTTTGAGCCATTACCGCAAACTCGAGGTGAGCTCAAGGCAAACTCCTCGATCCAATTTTGGGGTTGGGGGGGAGAAAGGGAGGCATTTGCATCAGAACTTGACTTCATACACTGAGGGTGAAGAATGGTCCCATCTTCAGAAAGGCCTGACCCCAAACTCCAGATCTGAATACGCCTCCAAATTTGGGGTGTTAAAGTCTGGATCCAAGTGTTATGGCTTGAGCCTATCTCTGCTGTAAAATGCTGCCAGGTCCATTTTACAGGGGAGCTCATGGACCATCAAGGAGGGAGTGCTTCTTTTTTCTCTCTAACAACACTCCCTCCCCCCTTTGGGAAACTTAAATGTTGAACAAGGGCTTTGAAGGAGAACACATCCAGTCCTCAGAGAGACGAGGACTGTACTGTAAGCTCCGTGGGGCAGGGGCTGCCTAGGAGCTGTGTTACAAATAGTAATACAGATGCAGCCTGGGAGTGCATGTGAGGCAGAATACAAGGGCAGAATAAAGAAAAGGAAACCTTGAAACTTGAGCTATTCTACATCCCAATCCCATAGGGAGGAAAACCAAAAACAAAGGAGAATGGGGTGAAGAGATAAACATTGCAGCCTTAAAACGGCCAGAACAACAATAGAAGGTAACTTTGCCCGAGGCGTCACTGAAGCCGTGAATAGAAAGGGCCAAGTTCTCCTCTTGGTTATGCTACTGTGATTCCACTGCAGCCGTTGGGGCAGCGCTACGGGACAAGAGGGGAGTTTGGCTCAGCCTGGGATGCAGAAGTTGAGTCTCCGACCAGTAAACAAGAGAAACGTCCCTTTGGAAACGTTTCCCGTCTGGGAGCAAAGGGAGAGTTTCTCTTTCCTCCATTTGACACGAGACGTGTGTTGTTTAATAACTTCTTGTTTTGCATTAATCAGCCCGTCCCTTCTGCATCACTCATGAATTCCTATGGAGACTGTTTTCAGAGGAACAGCCGTGTTAGTCTGTATTCGCAAAAAGAAAAGGAGTACTTGTGGCACCTTAGAGACTAACCAATTTATTTGAGCATGAGCTTTCGTGAGCTACAGCTCACTTCATCAGATGTTTACCGTGGAAACTGCAGCAGAGAGGTATTGTTTCATATTCTCTGTGTGTATATAAAGTCTGCTGCAGTTTCCACGGTAAACATCTGATGAAGTGAGCTGTAGCTCACGAAAGCTCATGCTCAAATAAATTGGTTAGTCTCTAAGGTGCCACAAGTACTCCTTTTCTTTATGGAGACTGTAGCTTCTCCTAAGGCTGCTTAGTAGCTTGAGAGATTCAAGGCAACTCAGGATCCATAATACAGAAAACAGAGACTGTGCCTATCTCCCATTTTATTCTGGGAGGGTTTAAAAGCCCACGCTGAGCTGCAGAAATATTTACATTCAACTTGTGATATAAAAGAGCTACTTTGCAGGCAAGTGAAGTGGCAGGAAGCAGAAATCTGGCATAGTACGGAGTTACTGGATGTACAGATGGTGAGACTCCTCTGCATGTGTCTTTCATTCTCCAAGTATGAGACGTCATATGCACCAGTACGCATGCTGAAACCAAGAGTCAGTTTCCTGGGGCCAGAAAAGGACATTTTTCCCAAGCACTTGAGGGAAGCGGGAATTTTTGCCATTTCCAATTAATCCTTCTAAAATGGCTGGCTAACATCTGCGTTGCACAACCAGATTTCAGAAAGGTGAATTTCACCCTCTGTTTTTGTCGTAGTAAAAGCAGCCTGCCTTATGTACTACAGTTAGTTAGTTGTATTACAATATCACTAACCAAGACCAGGCACAACTGCTGGGCAGTGGACTAACATTTCCAAGGGACAGTCTATGCCCCAAAGAGATTACAATCTAAATAGACAGGACAATTTTTTTTCTCTTTTTCATGGATGAGAAACTAAGACAGAGAAGTTAAGTGATTTACCCAAGATCACATGGGGGAATCTGTGGCAGAGCCAGGATTTGAATCTGAGTCTCCTAAGCCCCATTCTAGCCTTAATGTCACTTTTTCCTTTCCCAGAGCTTTCTCGTTTTGCAACACGTAACTGAAACTTTACCTTTTTCATTGCATTTGAGAAAACAGATCACGTGATCTAAAAGATTTTAGACATTCACCCTCTATAAAAGTGGTTCTCAACCAGAGGTCTTCCATGGGGTATTGTCAATTCATTTAGATAGGTCTAGTTTTACAGCCAGCAGCTACATAAAAAGTACTAGCAAAGTCAGTACACATTAAAATTTCATATCATGACTTGTTTATACCGCTCTGTATACTATACACTGAAATGTACGTATTAAATAAATCAATTGGAATATAAATATTGTAATTATATGGCAAAGATCAGAGTCAGTAATTTTTCAGTAATAGTGTGCTGTGACACGTGTATTTTTGTGTCTGGTTTTGTAAGCAAGTAGTTTTTAAGTGAGGTGAAACTTGGGGTTTACAAGACAAAAATCAGACTCCTGAAAGGGGTACAGTAGTCTGGAAAGGTTGAGAATGACTGCCCTATAAGATGTCACAGTAATATCCACAGCTTTATACAGTATTTCCTGTTATGGCAGGTGTCACCAGTGGCACCCTTACACATGGTTTTACAAATTCTTTCCCTCAGCCAACACGCACTGATCAGCTTGTGAAGAAATGTTGCACTATTGTTTTGTGATGATGTTCCATTTCAAGGGAGCTGTGGCAAACAGAGAGGCTGCTCTCTGCCTTAATCTCTCTAACCATAGTCAATTCTTGCCCTTAGGAAGTGGACATTCAAGTTTTGGCTGAGATTCCTGAAAAAAGGATTGCCTGCATGCTGTTTGTGACTACCTCTGTTCAAGGACTGGTGTATATTGCGTAAATAAACAGTTGCATTAACAATACACCCAGACACCGCATCACTGATTTCTCCTCCAACTGGAAGCTATCCTGCAAGGCATCAGCATCTGCTACTTCAGGGCAGCTAGCAGGGACACTATTTTTTCCTTCAATATTATTTATCTTTACCAGTGATAAGCCCTTTCGCATATTATCCCTGCTTTTTGAGCTCTTATGAAATTATTTATCATTGTCATTATTTAAAGAAAACCACCAACAAATCTACGAGATATATAGATTTCCCCCCTTTCCTCCTATTTGGCTTTATTCTAAAGAAAAAAATAAATAATCAGCAAGTTCTGGGAAATTGCAACCTGCCTAAAGGTATTAATGTTGATTATAAAATATACACACAAGTAACAGAGGTTTTCTGACACAGAAAGGCGTAATGGCTCTGGCTGCAATTTAGCGCCACATTTAACATGAACACCTGCTTGACTAGCTCAGCAGACACAAATTACTATTGTGGGTTTAGGCACAAAATAACCCCTCTTTTTGTATGGCAAAAGTATCAGATGCACTGAGGTTTGGGCTTGACAAAAATTGCATACCTGAAGTCAGGAAAAGGAATTAACACTATATAATAAAATAAATTGCATGTAATTATATACTCACCATGACAAAGGAAGTAAGGGAAATGAACAAGGAAAAACTGCCAGATCAGCAGCACTAAGACGATTCCCCCCCCAAATTCCTTGCAGCATGAATCCACTGAGGAAAACCATGTGGTTATTACTTACTTACCCTGGGAGACACCTCAAAATTGTCAGTGATATCTGTAACCCATGCCTATGAGCTGCAGCCACAGAAAGGGCTGAGAGGGTTACCCCATTCCTATTCCCATTGGGGCATTCAAAGAGGAAGGATGGTCTGGTGGTTAAGGCAACAGGCTATAACTCAGACAATGCTGGTTCAATTCCCAGCTTTGCCACAGTCTTCCTGCATGCCCTTGGTCTGACTTGTTAAAGGTATTTAATTACTGCACTGCCATTGATTTCAATGGGAGTTAGGTATCTCAATACCTTTTAAAATCTGGCTCCTTCTCACAATGGTGTCTCTGTGCCTCAGTTCACTATCTGTACAATGAGGATAAACAACATATTCCTACTTCACAGAGATGCAGTGTGGATAGAAATTATTAGATGCTCCAATACTACGTTGATGGGGGCCTTAAAGTAGCTACAGATTCATCCCTTTGTCTCTCTGCTGAGATTACTCATTAGCACCAGTTGGAAAGAGAACTATGGTTACTTGTCTGTTAGGAACTGGATTAAGCAATCACTTTGTACAGATCAGATGTAGCACTGGGCGCACCATTTGTTGTATTTCCCCTCTGTTCTGATTTATGAATGTGTTGCGGTGTTGTCACATTTATTCCTCATTCAAAATGATGCAAAGAACTTCTGCAAATCATTCTTCATCCCAAACTGGCTATAACTAGATAGGGAAACCAAGCTCTATGCGCTTCCATGGGAAAGAGCCTCCCCAAAATGGTAAAAAGCTATTAAAGGAGGAGTTTGAAAAAAAGACTTGAGAAAACACCAGTTAATTGAGAAACCAACAACTTTATGCCACCAAATCACTATCAAACAAGCCAATAAGCAGTACTCTTTTTTGGGGGGGGGGGGTATCTAACATGGGTGTATGTGTGTGTTGCATCCTCCCTCTGCTGCCTGGTCCATATAGAGATAGTATTTTAGCTCAAATGGTGCTTTAACGTTGCAGGTCATGGGTTCAAACCCCATGAACAGAGATCATTACAAAATAAACAGATCTCAGCTATTCTTATGCTGCCAGATTCTGCTACCTGCAATCCCATGGAGAAGATCCTTTACTATGTTAACAGTCTCATTGAAGAAGAATTCATGTCTTTTACGTGCCACATTGCGCTGCTTCATTTTTAAAGCCCTGCTCTCTCTCTCTCTGTTACAGGTACATGGCTATTATCCATCCATTGCAACCCAGATTGTCAGCCACAGCCACCAGGGTGGTCATCGGCATTATTTGGTTCCTGGCTTTATTGCTGGCGTTCCCGCAGGGTTATTACTCTATGACAGCAGAGCTTCCCAACAGGGTGGTGTGTCTGCTGGAATGGCCGGAGCACGACACCAGGGCATATGAAAAAACGTGAGTCTTTCCTTTTCCTACAGTGAAAAGCAAGGCGGTGGGGGAGGCTACACAGCATAGAAAGGATGCATTCTACAGAGGGAAAAAACTGTGAAATATACACAGACAAAGAAGGGGGCGGGGAAAGATGGGAAGGGGTGCAGGCTCCTGGCAATCACAGGACATTTGGTTTGATGGGATACACCCACCTGATTTCAATGTATGCCACCTACTCAGTGCTGTGGGAGGGTTCCCATACAAATATTCCCACTATTATATTCCACGACAAAAATGTCTTCCCTCTCCTAAGTTTGTTGAGCCCCTGAAGCAAGATTCAGTATCATGGCAATATTTTAGCCCTTATACACTATAGCTCTTCCTTCACTTGAGAATCTCAGAGCACTTAAAGGAGGTTATCACTATCCCCAGTTGAGGAAACCGGCACACAGAACTGCAGGGAATTGCCCCGGACACAAAGTGGTGGAGCCATGAAAAAAACTCAGGGCTCTTGACTCTGCATTTAGCGCCTTAGCCACTGGACCATACAGCCTCTGATCTAACAAACGCATCCAATTCCATTTACAATGCAGCATACGAGCGTACAAGTAGTTACCAATTTTCTTTTTTTAATTCTAGAAAGGATGTAAGTAAACCCTATAATATCCCATGGTACTGCATCCATTGTATGTTTACTTTACACAACAATAGATTTATTATCTCTTTCAGGCAAGGTACATACACTTAAGGTCAAGAACTTTTAAATATTCTCTCTCATGTACCCCTTCTTAGGCAGTTGAATAGGAGTTTTAGCCTGCAGAAGAGAAGAATGAGGGGGGATTTGATAGCTGCTTTCAACTACCTGAAAGGGGGTTCCAAAGAGGATGGCTCTAGACTGTTCTCAATGGTATCAGATGACAGAACGAGGAGTAATGGTCTCAAGCTGCAGTGGGGGAGGTTTAGATTGGATATTAGGAAAAACTTTTTCACTAAGAGGGTGGTGAAACACTGGAATGCGTTACCTAGGGAGGTGGTAGAATCTCCTTCCTTAGAGGTTTTTAAGGTCAGGCTTGACAAAGCCCTGGCTGGGATGATTTAACTGGGAATTGGTCCTGCTTCGAGCAGGGGGTTGGACTAGATGACCTTCTGGGGTCCCTTCCAACCCTGATATTCTATGATTCTATGAGGGAGGGAAATGAGGTCAGTACAGAACAATAGGTTGGTTTTCTCTGAAGGCCTTCCATACAAGTATTGACCAAGCTTGAATGCAAAAGAAAGTCATATTGGCTGATCATGACAAAGATGCTGTTGCTGGTAATGTATTTTATCCCTACTGAACTAATTCGGCCACACGTATCCATGCTCTAATTCCAGAGCTACACCAAAGACAAATTTGGCTCATTGCACCAATGTGCAGTTCAGTAGTGTTATGCGGGAACTGTAAATTTCCATTTTGCAGAGAAATTCCCCACTTTTTAAATCTGCTTTTGTTCTGATTCAGGACAGAGACCTCAAATTTCAAAGTATCCATGACATGATTTTTTTAAAATTGTTTTGGGTTAATTGAAAATTTTCATTTTTATTTAGATTTTTTGCAGTGTTATATTGTTTTACATTATATTATAAGTGATAAAAATAACTTTTGAAACAAAAAATCAAAATGTTCCATTCAGCAGAGATCAAAATGTTCTTTATGCTTCATTTAGATTTTTTCCCCCCTAAACAAAACTTTTCCCACACATTCCCACAGAACATTTAGACAAAGCAACATATTCCAATGGAAAAATTCTGTTGGAAAATTTTTGATGAATTTTCTACAGTTTAACTTCTATGATCAGCTTGGGAAGACTCTTGGGAAGACTCCAACTAAATGGAGATAAAAATACAAATAAACAAAACCAACTAAGATTATTGGTGGCCAGATTCCGATAACTCATGGGTAAAGTGCTATTCAGAGTGAGTAAGATTCTCATTTGTGGATTAAGGAACTGTTCAGCATAAGGGCCCTAGGTAACTAAATCCTATTGAATACATGGAAATATAAATTAAACTGGATGTGGTACTACCGATGATCAAAATGCTACACCAGAGCCATTGCTGTGCCTGGCTGTTTTCTGTCCTTTAAAGCTAGTTCTTGATGGAAATTTCATTGAAGGGATGATAAAATATCCTGTCCTATCTCTGCGGATGCAGATGGATTGTGCATTCCTCTTAGGGCATTATTTATGCTTGTAGTTTAATGCAGCTTTATTTTGTATGGCACCTTTCATGTAAACTGTGTCTTAAAATGCTTCATAGAGTGAGTACAATTCTGGAAGGAAATGGCAAAATGGAGCTATATCAGAAGGACGCTGACAAAATGGAGGAAATTCAGGGACAGGTAACTAAAATGATTAAGGGTTTGGATTTAAGGAGGAGAGATGAAAAGAGTTTGGTATGGATGGCTTGGCTAAGCAATGACTGAAAGGGGCATGAGAACCATCTCCAAGTAAATACTTTGAGGTGGAGAAGAATTGGCGAGGGTGGGCCAAGGATGGAAAGCTAGGAGTAATGGCACAAAGTTAGGAAAAGGAAATACTTCATTGTCATGAGGAATGTTAGCCTGTGGAAAAGCCTCACAAAGGCGGCCATGCAAACTTGGCAAAGCTCCTAAAACCGTTCAGTGCCGTACAGAATAGTTCTGCGTTGGCTGGGAGGGATGGAACAGCTGACTGAAAAGATCCTTTCCAGCGCTTATGTCCATGATTATGTGCCAACAGCAGCCATTTCTCCATTATACCTGACCCTCTCTTAACTTGAAATGCAGATATGCTTCTTTGGAGTGTATGGGCTCCTCCAGGATGCTATTATGACCTTGCCATGCAGGATTTAAGACCTGCTGAACCTAAACTCACAGAAATTCAGATTCATAGGACACTAGAACAGCTGGGTCAAACATGCTTTGCTGATAAAACAAAAATCCTGTGGTGGAAGCCAATAGGTTTATATTAAAAACTACTCTGAAAATCCTATTGAATTCAATAGCGAATGAAATCCTTCCTAAGGGCATTTTGAACCATCTTCTAAAATTTTATAGCAGGGATAGGATTCTCTTTTAAATTCTCCAGCATGGGTAAGAGAAAGGAGATGGCCCCCTACATAAACTTCTGTAGGAATTTTCCTTAAGAGTTGACCAATCTATTTCTAAACCATCAACCCAGCCCTAATTAGTACAAATCAGCCCTTTAGCCTTATGCTGCCCCATCCTTGGGGCCAATCTTGAAGAGCGTCAGACTCAAAGTCAGAAGGGACCATTGTGATCATCTAGTCCAGGGGTTTTCAACCTTTTTCTTTCTGAGGCCCCCCCTCAACATGTTAAAAAATGCCATGGCCCACCTGTGCCACAACAACTGGTTTTCTGCATATCCAGTAGATGAAAAGCCACGTGTTAGGTGGTAGCAAGCAGGGCAATTGCCTAGGGCCCCACACCATAGAGCTAAGTTGCTCTGGCTTTGGCTTTCAGCCCTCAGTGGGGCTCGAACTTTGGCTTTTTGACCTGGGCTGCAGCAAGTTTAACACTGGCCCTGTTCTCTGGTTTATTTTGGTGGAAACCTGCTCATGGCCCCCCAGTAGGCCCCAGATCCCTGGTTGCGAACCTCTGATCTAGGTGTCTAACACAGGCCAGAGAACTTCCTCCAACTAATTCCTAGAACATAGATTTTAGAAAATCATCCAATCTTGATTTAAAATGTTGTCAGTGATGGAGAATCCACCACGACCCTTGGTAAATTGTTCCAATGGTTAATTACTCTCACTGTGAAAAATTTACACCCTATTTCCAGTGTGAATTTGTCTAACTTCAACTTCCAGCCATTGGACTGTGTTAGACTTTCCTGTGCTAGATTGAAGAACCCATTATTAAATACTTATTCAACATGTGGCTCGTAGTAGACGAATCAAGTCACCCCTTAACCTTCTTTTTGTTAAGCTAAATAGCTTGAGCTCTTTGAGTCTATCACTATAAGGGATGTTTTCTTTAACCATTCTCTGGGTCTTCTCTGAACCCTCTCCAATTCATCAACCTCCTTGAATTGCGGACTCCAGAACTGGTCACAGGATTCCAGCAGTGGCCGTACCAGTTCCAAATACAGAGGTAAAATAACCTCTCGGCTCCAACTTGAGATTCCCCTTTTTATACACCCCAGGATCATATTAACTCTTTTAGCCACTGGGCCACACTGAGAGCTCCAGAATGCCTCCTTAATTTTCACTTAAGCCACTTGTAAACGAGTAATATAACCATCCTAAACTCATGCCAAGAAACAAACACTTTAACATCAAATCACCCAGGTGCTCTCTCTCTATGTGTATATTATAAAGCCTGAGCAAGACTGGCAGATGAAAGACCTGGTAGGAGTTTATCTAGCATGCATATATTTTCCACCTACTGAGGTTCCTTCTAATTATTTCTAGCATTTCAAGGTTCTGGGTGACCCCACTGCTTTGACAGTAGTGCAGCCATCTTTGTTTTGCACCTCTGATGTCAGGGAGGCTGGCTGTTTCACTTCCTTTCTGTAGAAGCTTAATCAGAGGGTGAGTGAAATGTCACGAGTTCAAAAAGACATTAGCGATCTAAAACCCAGAGGAATGATCAGCTAGGGTTCAGGTTGCTAAACTCATTATCAAACTGGTTGAAGCCAAAGCAAATATTTCTCTAAGAGCTATTTAAAGGGTATCAAATCTTGATGCAGCGCCCCAAATCAGAGACACGTAATGGCCCAGAATTCATAGTAGAGATGATCTAGTCAATTATAGCGACTGGGGAACTTCAAACATTGGGAGGTTCAGATAATTAGTATTATTTATTATTTGTATTTATGCACCTAGAGTCCTGACTTAGGCCCCTTGTGCTAGGCACTGTGCAAATACATAGCGAGACAGTCACTGCTGAGAGACCTTTTAGTTTAAATAGACAAAATGGAATGGGTGGGAGGCAAAGGGACTTGACCAAGGTTACACAGAAGGTTAGTGGCAGAACTGGGACT